AATCTTTGATATACAACATCATGCCCCGATCATAAGTATTGGTGGCAGAGACAAAATCAAAACACAGGACGGTAAAAATAATATTGCAAGTGACAACTGTTGTGTAAAGCGCTTTGAGTGCTCAGAAGAGTAGAAAAGCGCTATATAAGAACCAGTCCATTTAACAGCGGCCAGTATAAAACTATACCAACGAGCTGTACTAGCGGCACAAGCGGCGAAGCCAAACACAGGCGCCATCTAGTGACACACATCTGCACCACGTTTCCTTTGCAACATAATTCCACATATCTTGCTTCATATATTTGATCAATAGAAAGTAGTAAAAATAAAGAAAAAAACATTAAATGAGAAGGTCTGAAGGAGAGGTAGAAGCGGGGAAACATGCACTCAAAACTGATGGGGGCTTCCCATAATCCAATGCCTTTTTCTTTTTCAGTCACCATTTCTTTTTCAATAACCACTCTACTTATACACTACTCTGCGTTTAATTTAGCCGTAGCCTTTTTCATACCTACGTTCACCACCATATTTTATCAATTCTTTCTACATAATTCCATATATCTTGCTTAATATGTTTGATTTCTTCAGTATGTATCTACAATGTAGAAACTAATAATAAAACAAATTAAAGAAAAACCATTTCATTTATATATACACCCACACCCACACACACATATATATAATATAATTCATAACATTACAATATTCAAATTTCTTGAGTGTGTGCAGTGTGTTGTGCACGTTCATAAACTAATTGCTTTCAAGGGATAGCTGGCTGAATCAACCTGCAGTGTCACATTGTAAGGTACTGATTACAGGAAGTTTTTGGCATATAGAAAGTCACATCCTCACTTTTGTTTAAACAAAATTGAAGTGTTTATTAAAATGCCACAGTAGAGGACCTCCAGTGCAATAAAATGTGATGTCAAAAGTTCCTGACCCAAGGAGAAAACAATCAATAAGATTTGAAAGTGAGGTATTTTATTGTGTTTATGATGTTTTCCAGGAATGGCAAGCTAGTACAACTCCAGCAGATGAAGTTCCCTATCAAGAAAGAAAAAGAGTTTCCTCACATAAGACCTGAAGACACAAGATTACAACAAATGGAACAAACTGCAAATGGTAATCATCAACATGAGCAACATGAAAAGCCTTCATATTCTTTAATCGACAGGCTTGCAAGCTCTCAACAGGAGGGGAGAAAAGTTACACTGGGCAAGCTGCTTCTACCAAAAGACAGAAACAAACCAAACGTTGACCTTCCATCTTCTCTGGTTTCCCATAGTACCCGGAAAGACTTAAATCTAGGCACAGAAAAAACACTCACCCTCTCTTTCACTCCTTCCAGTTTTTTGAAGACTCAGAACAATACTCACACTCAAGCAACCTGCCATCCAAAGTCTCACATCGTTTTCCTCAAGACACACAAGACAGCAAGCAGCACTATCTTAAACCTCCTGTATCGCTATGGCGAAAGCAGAAACTTGACCTTCGCTCTCCCTCTAAACAAACAGAGCCAGTTATTTTATCCATTTTTCTTTGTTCCACATTTTGTCGAAGGAGTTAGCAGCAGAAGTGTGAAAGCGTTCCACATCATGTGCAACCACATGAGATTTAAAAAATCTGAGGTGAGTTTCATCAGAAATGTATGTAGTTCCATGGCAACCACGGCAATTATATCAATTTGATATGGTTTGGTATTCCAGTCAGCCTGACTAAGTACCAAAATGTGTTAATTGGGCCAAAATAAAAGCTGCAGTACACCCTGTTTCAAAGTTTCACATATCAAGACCTAATGAAATATTATCTAATGTACAAATTATCTAAACTACAAAGCAGGATTCATTCTTATACAGGTACCTTAAAGGTTACCCTGGGTTTGAAAAGAAAATTCTCACAAGGGTATATTGGCATGGTAACTCATACTGCAAACCATTTACCAGAGATCAGCAGGTGTGCACAATGTGTAGGAGAACACAAAACATTATTTACCATCATATCATGACATCTTATGATATGATGATACCAGGTTACCATGTTACTGTGCTACATGCATGTATGTGTGCATCACTTCTTAGTTTTTGCAATGTTTAGACATTAATCTAACACAGTGATACTTGCATTTGTTACAGATTGACCAGAGAGAAGTGATTTTTTTTTTTTTAAAGTTACTTTTTAGACTGAATCTATGAATCTATGATCTAGGCTAGTGTTTCTGAGATGATTAAATTTTGTTGTGGTCCTTATAGGACAGGTACTACAAACCCGTGATTTTATATACTATTATGCATTAAACATCTGCAGCAGTAACACTAATCCATATAGCAGTGATGGGGAACATTTTTCTGCAGAATAAATACTTTTATCATTATTATACAGTTACACGTGTAGAGAGGTGTCTCTTAGTATCTTATGAAAAACCTCTCTTTTCATAAGAGAGGTGTTTCTCCCATTGCTTTTGCAAATTGGTTCTAATAAAAATCCTTCACCAGTCACAATTTTACACATTTAAAAAAATAATAATTTTACAGGCAGGAAGGATGGTATGCTTTAATCTGGTCTAGTTTATCTTATTGAAGACTAATAAATATTTATTTATTTAATTCATTTACTTTTATTTTTAAGGGGTGGGAGTCTTTCACGTCTGGCCTCTCTCTAAAAGTCATCTCATAAGTCATCTCATAACACTGCCTTTTAACCCTTCCAGGAACAGTTCAAATCTCTCCGGATTTCTTTCCTTTTTGGCATTGCGTGAAAATGCACCAGAAGGCTCGAGACCAAAATGTCTCCTTTTATAGAAGTTCTGACACTTGTTAATGATCATTTAATCAGTGCTTTTGATTAGCAGCACCTGAAACTTACCCTCTAAATTCAAAAGAAAGCAGTAAAGGCGTATTATTTTTTCACACACTGCATTTTGTTATTGAAATAATGTGACATATTTTGAAATTTATCTGAATTTGTTTTTTTTAATCAATTTTATGACTTGCTAAGGATGACAAGAATAAACATATATAGCACATGGATAATATAGTGATAACACTACTGGTCTTCAGAACAACAGGTGTCTGACTGTGTAATTTACTATGTATTTCCCAGGTGGCAAAAGTGATGCCTCAGGATACCTTTTACTTTTCCATCTTGAGACATCCTGTGGCTATGATGGAATCCATCTTTAGTTATTATAAGAGCATCCCAGCCTTTCGTAAGACATTTAGCCTGGAGGACTTCTTAGACAACAGCTGGAGAAACTATAATGCATCGGTAGCCAACAACCACTACGCTCACAATATTCTGGCTTTTGACTTTGGCTTTAAGAATAATATTGCAGTTGGTGCTGGAGACTTTGAGGAGAGAACCACTGTGGCTATTAAAACCATAGAACAGGACTTTAATCTTATACTAATTTCTGAATACTTTGATGAGTCCATGGTCTTGCTCAAGTACTCCCTCTGCTGGTCCTTGGAAGATATGGTTTCCTTTCGGCTCAATAGTCGCAGTGAACAAACTCGGCATTCACTTTCACTGAACACTGCAGAAAAAATCAAGAAGTGGAATGCTTTAGACTGGAGGATTTACCTACACTTCAACACAACCTTCTGGCACAAAGTGGATAGTCTTGTTGGACGACAGAAGATGGAGAGGGAAGTAGCTCAGCTGAGAAAGCTACAAGTCAAGCTTGCAAACACTTGCCTGAAAGATAGATGTGCGGTTGACCCATCACTGGTAAAGGATGCTAGGCTGAAGCCTTTTCAGTATGGAACAGCTGTCATTCAGGGCTATAACCTAAACCCAAACTTAGATATACAAACCAAAACAAAATGTCAGAGATTTATCTTACCAGAACTGCAGTACACACATCGTCTGTACACCAAGCAGTTCCCAAAGGAAGCTGCTAAGCATAAACAGGCAACTAAGACTGTTAAATAATCACCTAAAGAAAATTGCTATGATAGCAAAGCATCAGGAATGGGAAGACCTGAGCAGCCTGACCTTAAGAAGTAAAATCAGGTCTCAAAAACCAATGGGCCTCCACAAGTTCTCTGTTAACAAAAACACAAGCTAAGAATAAAACAAGAATACCACGAGTAATACCTGTGACTAATAATCACAGGATATATGATATGCTTGAGAAGTATGTGTTGGGTATTAACAAACATTTTTGATTTTTTTTCTTTTCTTTTCGCTTTTTTTAGTAGCCAGTGGTTAAGTTGAAAATATGAAAGCCGGAATATCATATCACTTTGGTGATTATTCATTCTTATGAATATAAGAGGCTAACCAAGCCCAATATTGTTAGCTCCTGGATGTTATAAGACACAGTCAAGAGTAAAATGTTTTTGACTAATTAACTTTTGTTTGTTTTCTTGCTTGTTTGCTCATTTAAAACATATCTTTGAAGTACATGGCAGTGGGTTGAATTTTGGACTGTTTTTTATACCCTGTTTGTTTTAATTGCTGAAGATAGCAATGGAACTTGAACTTGACTTGAACATGCTAGTTCAAGTCAAGTTGCTTTTTAGTGTCATTTGAGCCACAGTAATACACCTTGAAATAAAGTAATGTTCTTCCAGGATCAATGTGTCACAGCATTAAAAAAAAAAGCACATGGCATTAAAATATCAGATTATATAAAGAATAAAATATACATATATGAAATGGAATGTATTAATCTGTGTGTGTGTGTGTGTTGAACATGGTGTTAACAGAGATCCAATTTAGCTGTTGCTTCCAATCACACCCCTGCAGGTCTCACTGTCATTGCCCACATTAGTGTTGAAGCACCCCACCCGGGAACGCCATGAAGGTAAGGTACTCTAAACTGTCATTTGGCACATAGGCACATGCACCTTCCCCAAGCCTGGCTCCAGAGTGAGCCCCGGTAACCCTATCCCGGGGAGGGTGAACTGTTTCCTAGATTTTTCACCCACAGGGGTCTCCTGAATTGCTCGTTGTCTTTTCCCTCACCCAGGACCAATTTGCCATGGGAGACCCAGAGTGACTCCTCTTCTCTTAACAAAAAATAAAGGATCTTTGACAGGTAGCACAGTGTCCTCTTTCTAAAGTAAATCAATCAAGGGCCTTTTTATGGAAACTACCAATGCTGTCTGAGTTACAGTACCTCCATTTGAGGGTTCTGGTGTGGTGCCAAGAGTGATTGTCTGCCTGTGTTTAAGCTGTTAAAAATGACTTTTTGGTCTTTAATCTGTCAAACAGATCCCAAAGATGAAGCTTATATGCAAGTGCAATAAGGAAGATTGGTAATCACTCACCTGGATGTTTTCCTGCATGCTTAACTGCTAGTCTACCACAGGCCTTTACCCTGGCTCAGAGGTATAAGAATAATCCGTTCATTTAATAATGCTGTTCTTATAAGTACAGTTTCATTAACCATCGTCCTGTACAGAACCTGGGATATCAAGGCAGCCATTGTACATATACCAGCACACATTCGGTAGTACTCAGTAGCATTGACATTCTGGGGGTGGCTGTATCTCCAGTGGTAGAACAGGGCACCTACTCAGCGGAAGGTTGGTGGTTTAATCCCTGTCTGCTCAAGACTACTTGTAAATTCTTGTAAATGTTAGACAGAAACACATAGAGCATAGGGGGAAAAAGCACTAAGAGAAATTTTCTGCTAATGATCTATGGTAATTATTAAAGAGGAAGCTTGATTCCAGGTCCAGCCAATTTTCATACAGGCATCTGTTAATGAGACACCGTATTTTTTCATGGTGGAGAATTGTGCGCTGCGAGAGACCCTGCTTATGGAGTTTAACAACTCGACCATGTTTAAAAAAGGGAAAGGTTTTTTTGCATTTGCAATCAGAACATCGTGACAGTGTGACCACCTTACTTAAAATTATCATGAATCCACACTTTTGCACAGATTTGGACTTTTGAAGGCATGTTGTCCTAAACTTTTCATCAGCTGTACAACAGCCTGTTTCAGTTGAAGTATTGTTTTTAATAAATTGCATGCTCAAAAAATGTTTTGTCTCACTCCCATTTCTTCTTTTTGCATGTTGAAGCTCTACTTGAAACCTTGTTAGGATCCAACCATGCCAAATATGTTTGGGTTTTTTTTGGTTCTTTTTTTTGCCATTTATCAAGTGGTCTTAAACTTTTGATTGGGACTGTATATTAAATATACACTATCAGTCAAAAGTTTTAGAACACCCAGTTCTTCCAGTTTTTTATTGAAAATTATGGAGTTTAATGTCTCATTGCATTGTGATGAGTCAAAAGTTTAGAATATATTTTGGTCTATAAATTCATAATTCCATGATTTCTCAACTCCAAGTACTATCCTTTCATTTCAAAGTAGCCACCTTTGGAAGATATAACAGCTGAACACACCTGTGGCATTCTTTCTAAAACAAAAATCAAATATTCTTCAGAAAGTTCTTCCCCTATCTGTTGCAGAAGTTTCCATAAATGTTTTGCACTTGCTTTGCTTTCCCTCTTCTGTCCTGTTCCAAAACCAGCTTGATGGGGTTAAGTCTGGAGACTGTGCTGGTCACTCCATGTTTTCAAGCTTACCATCTTGTTCTTTTTTCCTGAGGTAGTTCTGGCATAGGTTGGACTTATATTTTGGGTCATTATCTTGCTGTAGGATGGACCCCTACATACCAGAGAATATTGCATGGCGCTGTGGTAGCTGTTTTGGTTCAGGGTGCGTCCGACCCTGAATCCAGCAAAACAGCCCCAGACCATCACACTTCCTCCTCCATGTTTGACATGCCACACACTGTGGAAACTAGTGATGGGATTTCCGGCTCTTTTTACTTTCGGCTCGGCTCACTAAAAAGAGCCGGCTCTTTCGGCTCCGAACCGGCTCTTCAGGTTGTTTTGTTGCTTTAATTATTTAATCATTAACAATAATATAAAATTATGCAGAAAAGGAATTACTAATGTAAAAAAA